CTTTCCCTTCCCTTCCCTATCCTCTAAAGTACTTCACTTTCCCAGAACAACCAAACGCATAAAACAGCAGCAGCCCACTCAGGAACACTGGGGCTGAGAGCCAAATCAGGGATCACCTTGTGTTTAGATGGTTTCTACAGAATTTGTGTGGCCTGACTGCCCTCTATCGTCCAAAATGGTTTCTACACCAAAGTTGAGGAATGGTCCTGGGGTGTGTCTTTTCTAGTGATAATTGTATTTCCAGATAGAAACTCAATACTGACTCTAGATAATCACTTAAAGCAAAGAGGGCTTAGATTTAATCTTCTGGGGAAAAGCAGTACTAAGTGTAGATTTTCATAAATGACAATGCTGGCCTCCCACAGCTGGCCTCACCTTTTTCGGTAACAATGATTTTTTAAGAGTTAAACATCAACTGTAATAAAGTTAGTTATAAATGAGTTCATATATGAACTTACAATAATCCTCTACCTTGAGTATTGTCCCGGACACACATGTTGGGCCCAAACTTTCTGCTCTCTTCAGAGCCTTGAACCCAGTGATAGGAGAGAAACCTTAAGCGGCACCTCCCTCCTGAGTTTTCCAGGAAGTGGTGCAGTCAATGCACAAATGGGCCAATACACAGTAAGCGAGCTCTAACTGCAGTCGTGACGTCATGGCCGCCCCACACCGGATCTGCCTGTTCGGAGGTTTTATTAGGAAGGAAGAAAAGAAGCCCACTAACTGAAACAACAGAGAGTAAATGGTACTCAGAGTGCCCTCATTCCCCGGATGTTACAGGCTCCAATTACACAGCCACGCCCTCTCCCCTCAGTAGCTGCGACTCTACTTCTGGCAAATGCTCCCAAATGCAGAGAAAGCTGACAGGAGCCAGTGAGGAACCAGGCTCTGGGGGGCTGGAGGAGAGGTTACGCTCAGGAGAGTACAACCCAGACTAAGAAGACAAGACAAACTTTTAAGATGCCCCGCTGGAACCTAAGCTCCAACTGGTTTCCCCCAATAGACTTAGGCAGGTCTGATGCTTCTAGGTCTTGAGGAGGAAAAGGCCTAGGACAATTCTCCACTTTAACAAACAATCCTGGTTACAGAGTACGTCCCAGTGGGCTGAGAAATATGATTTCTCATGAACGAAAGGGTCTTGCATTTACTTAATCCTCAGAACCCTATCACGGGGACAGCCCCAAATACACCTACCTGTCTCTGGGGACATCCAGGGCCGTGTTATAATCTGGGGGACCTCCAGGCAACATGTTGAACAGGAGGTGATTGGTTCCTCGATCCCACCTATTAAGATATTAAACATGTAGGAGAATTCACACATCAACTATGAAGAAACAAAGACAAGTCAGTTTCTGGATGACAAGTAGTCTCCCCAACCCATAATAGGGCCTCTTCTCAGGAGTCCCTGGAGATCCCAACAGTGCATCAGGCACTGGCCTGGCTCCTTGAAAGTAAAGCTGGGGGATGTGCACTCCAAACTTGTCCACTACAGAACTGCTTATGCTAATGAAAACCTGAATGCTACCTGAGTGTTCACCATTTGGTTACAGAAACAAAAAATAAATAAAATACAGAAGGCCGGTTACATACATTAGGGAACATGTGCAAAATGGAATACTATACAGCCCTTAAAATCATGTAGAACCGACAGATGAAGATGAAATTATCTGGAAATACATTCACGATAAATAAGGGGGAAAAGGCAGCAAGAGAACGTGTTTTGCTGTGTGATCCCATTCTGGACAAAAATGTTATATACACGTGCATATGTATATATACTTTATACAAAAATGTATACATACATGCCTATGTATATGTTTTATACAAAAACGACTGAAAAGTAACAGCAAAATATTAATGATTATCTCTTAGAGGCAGGCTTATGGAATGAACCTTACTTTCTTCTTTTTGCTTACCTGTATTTTCAGACTTTTTATAGGGAATGTATATTATGTGAGTAATAAAGAAGGGGAAAAAGTGCTTAAATTTAGGGCTTCCCTGGTGGCGCAGTGGTTGAGAGTCCGCCTGCCGATGCAGGGGACACGGGTTTGTGCCCCGGTCTGGGAGGATCCCACATGCCGCGGAGCAGCTGGGTCCATGCGCCATGGCCGCTGAGCCTGCGCGTCCGGAGCCTGAGCTCCGCAACGGGAGAGGCCACAGCAGTGACAGGCCCACATACCGCCAAAAAAGAAAAAAAAAGTGCTTAAATTTAAAAGGAAAAGCATGGGAAGCATCCTTAGCTTCTAAACGTTAAGAGTCTGGGAACCCACAGCAGTGGTACGGGAGGGTGGTACAGAGGCCAGGTGCCCAAAGCACCGGTCCTCCTACAAGTCAGTCGCTCATCCACTCACCCCCATATAAGATAAGAGACAAGCAGACAGCCGGACACCAGCTCAAGAGAACCACTGGCTCTGCCCCTCCTTCCCTCTAGTTCCTGGAAGACCTGCTGTGATACCTGGAGAGCTGGGCCAGCGCCTGCGCCGTCTCCTTCACGCGGAGCGCGTTCTGGTTGAGCAGGTCGATGGACGGGATGAACAGGCAGGCCCGGGCGATGTCCTCGGTGTAGTAGTCGCTGTCTGAGACGGCCGTGAGCAGCTCGTTGTACTCCTGGGAGATGGTGCTGCTCACTGGGACACCCGCATCATCCACATACTTTTTCAGAGAGTAAATGTACACCTTGATCTTGTTCTTGGGGTTGAAGCCACAGCGGTAGACGTCGAAACATGTGTGCATTCTGCAGCTGAGGTCGCCACGCTCGGGGACGGGGCTGTCGGCTGGCAGCCTGACCACTGGCACGTCGCGGATGCTGCGCTTCTGCACGCTCCAGTCGCTCGAAGACTCGATGGAGTGCGGCCAGAACTGAAACATGCCCGTGGCGATGAGGCCCAACAGGACGATGGAGAAGAGGGTGATGTAGTAGATGCGGTGCTTGGTCTTCATTCTCGGGATGAGGGCAGGACCCCGGATGTTGTACTTGACCGAGGCACACATAATGACCCAGAGAGCCTCTTCCTCACACTCCTGGTTACCAGGGGAGAAGAGAGAAAAGTGAAGTTTTTAGGGTGGCAGATGACACTTGAAAGGACTGTTCAACTTTGAATCTACCTCTTTTCCTTAAGTGATCTGATGAAATAATGAAAAGGGATTTTTGACCTGTCTTATAAATAAATAAATGTGTACATATGAAAATATGATATATGATATATTTAATATTACATACTTAATATAAGTACTGTTAACATAATGTAAAAATATTACTATATTCTATAAATATATATTCTCTGAAAGCATAAGCTGGTAAATGCGTGGGACCTAGGAAGAGGGGCACTGACCAAGGAAGAAAAATCAAAAGTGGAACAGCTGAAGACAGTTGTTTTATTTTGCTTTCAAATACTTGCCTAACATAAACTGATGCTTCATCTGGACAAACTGATGTTTCGTTCATTGTACTAAAGCCTGTTTTCATTCATTCATTCAACCCTCATAGAGGACCTAAACAAAGAAGAAAGTGAAAACCTACCTTAGAGGAATTTATATGCTAATGAGACACAAAACTGTAACAAAATGTGGAATGTAAAAACACCACTAAGAAAATATCAAGAAAAGGCCAAGGGGTATGAGAGAAGATTAATCTTTAAATAAAATATATACTGACGTTTTATAATAAAGGGATAGTTGACACATTTAGATGGAAGGGAGAAATGAAGAAACAGGGAAGGAGGAAAGGAGAGGTGGAGGGAGGAAAAGAAAGGCCAGTGAGGTAGATCCATTTCTAAAGATTGATGCCAACAATTCTTCCCACTGGTGAAGGTGCATGCCACTCGTCCAACCAAAAGGTGGAATCTCTTTCGCTT